ATATATATATATATTCAGACACTGCTGTTCATGACTGTTTACTTCCATTATGTGATAATAAATAGGATGCTGTTTTTTCAATCTGCAAGCTTTACATTTAATTAAAGAGTTTTAGATGCGCAATAAACAGGATAATGTACACCCAGCTGGTTGTTTTCACAGAATTAAGCCATTTAGTGTTATAAAAATGCTCCTCTTCTTATCGGCCTCCTGATAAGCCTGTCAGGAATTATTCTGCAAGAACAAGCAGCTAAATGTACCTTATACCTTATTATAATAATTATTATTATTTGTTTTTAATTATAAAAACTTGTTTCCCCCACAGCACACACTCCTGACAACTCCTTCATGGGTTTTGTGACCGAGGAACTAAACCAGACTGAACGATTCAACATAAAGAGAAACAAAGTCAACAACATGGCTGTGGTTTACGGCAAAGAGGCCAGCATGTGGAAGGTAAGATGGCGTGCATCTTTTAATAGCCAATTAAAGTGAAGGTTTTTACCAGAAATGGCAGATTTAGCAGAATTCTGACACGTTTCTGCTGTGTGTAGTGTAGAGTAAGCCTTGCTCAGCATTTGATAAACACTGTGCTGTACCGTCGCTGCTGTAGACTTGCCTGTGTAACTGTCGGAACATACAGAGATTGATTGCCTGGCTCCTATCATGGCTTGTTGGGCACACTGATTGTGCTAAAGTGGCGTTTGGATGTGCTGACAGCAAAATAACATCAGGCTGCTTGAACACGCTTCAAAGCCGGATGAAAGCAAACATTCGACTGCATCAGGAGAGACAGGCTGCGAAGACCGCCAGAGGAAACTGCGCCCGCAAACATATATAAATAAATAAGTCAAAACTTGACAAGTAGCAGACTTTAATCAGAAAGCGTGTTCCAACCGCAGGCGTTTGGGAGCAGAGATTGGTTTTGATGAGAGTAAAATACACCGCAGAAGAGGTTTTATTTTTTTTTAGGGAATGCAGTCTTTGTGTTTAACCTGAATGTTGTTTGAAAAATGGTTGGCTTTTAGTAGCTCTTTATCATAGAAATATAGTTGCCAGTTTAGGGTGCTGACCCACCAAAGACTATCACTGTCGCTAATTTGAGTCCTGGCTTGGCCAGTTGGCATTTCTGGGTTCAGTTTGAATGTTTTCCTAGTGCTTGCGTGGGTTTCCTAGGGGTGCTCCGGTTTAACCCCCAGTGCAAAGACATGCGGTATAGGTGATCCATTTTCCATTACTGGGTTGTGGTTGGAAGGGGATCGGCTGCGTAAAACATATGCTGATTTATTCCTCTGTGGCGACCCCTGATAAATAAGGGACTAAGCATAGGAAAATGAATGAATGAATGAATGAATGAATGAATAATGATAATCAAACAGATTGCAACAGTAAAATATAGTCAATAACATAGCACAGTACATTAAGCTCAAAAAATAAATATTGTAAAAATGATTGTGGGCAAAATAAGACAAGCTGCAACTTTAATAGACTCTACCATGCATACAGTAGATTAGTAGGTAATTGACACCTTGTTAACGGCTGTAATAGCACATGAACATAATAGCAAATCTGGGGGTCTCAAAAGTGTGTGGGCCCTCAGAATTGTCCTAAATTTCGCCCTCTAGCAGCGCACCTGGGCTCAGGTAAAGTGGTCTAGTGTGAGCGGATGGCTCGTCATAAAGAATAAGAGGTTTGAGTTGCACTTATAACCCACAGCCTTTTTTACATTGTTCCCGCTAGAGGTGTGAACCTATACTGGTCTCACGGTTCGGTTCGGTTACGGTTATCATGCCATCGATTCAGTTCAATTCGATATCTCGGTGCATCACGGTGCATTGACGATGCTTTCCATATATAGTGTTATATTTTAGGGGGGAGGCTATAACAAGCTGTCTGTATAAACACACAGACACACAGCAACACACTGTCTCTCATTCAAACACATTCACAAACATAGACAGCAACAAACAAACACACACACGCGCACACACACACACAAACAAACACACTTAAGCCCTTGCAACAGGGAGAGCTCGCGCTGAGCGGAGCAGAAAAAAAAAAAATAAATAAATAAAATAAGCACTTTTCCGACGGTCCCTTACAGAGAGCTCCTCTCAGCGCGAGCTCTGCCGGCTAAAGTAAACGCAGACTGAGAGGGCTTAAACGGAGCAGTGCTCGTAATGTCGAGCGAAAAAAAGAAAGACAGCTGTGAAACATAACCAGATTTGTCTTTCTGTAGGAAACACACTTTAGATCCTTTTAGGGTAAGCGTTTTTTGGGTTATTGCCGTCTATAACTGAAAGTGTGTCAGGAAAATCTAAAACAAAACCAACTTAACAGCGCTCATTTCTGGTGCCCCTCTGGATATACAGCACCCTTAGCATTTGCCTATGGTGCCTATGCCACGGGCCGGCCCTGAGTTGGCTAAGTGTTGTAAATAACGGCGCTCACCTCCCTCGCGACAGAGCGCATAGGAGATAAATGACGTCACTACATAATAACCGGTTATGGTTATTGCTGAATCGATACCGAATTGTCCGCGTGTCTGCATCGCGGTGCACCGAAGAAACAATTAATTTTGACACCCCTAGTTCCCGCCATTTCAAATGCTGTATGTTTCTTGAAAGCAAAAGTTATTGGGTCGTTCTGCATTGTGTGTTTGTTTGACAGGTTGCCATTTAAAAGTGATTTGTGCAGTTGAGCCCCTAAACGCTGACAGTTCCCTGCAGCCCGTCGTGCCTGAAGTAGAACTGTACGCTCAGAGATTTGGAAACACAATCATCTCCCATTGTCCTCCTTTACTCCAGTTCTAATTAATTTTTGGTCTCTTGTCGACCGTCTTGGATCACTTGCAGCTCCGTCTCAGAGCGTGACAATCATCTCATCAATTTATGGATGAGCAGGGTTCCCACGCTCATGCAAAACCTGTAAGTGCCATAGTAAGGGCAAATCCCATTTCTATACCTTAAGTTTTCACTACTCCTCTGTTTTATGGAGACTTCACTGGAGTTCAGTAAAGCTAACTGACTTGGTCATTTTGTCAGCACATATTTATAATATGATACCCTTAACAGCATACACCATGTCAGAGAGAAAAAAAAAAAAAAAAAAAAAAAAAAAAAAAAAAAAAAAATATATATATATATATATATATATATATATATATATATATATATATATATATATATATATATCTATATATATATATATATATATATATATATATATATATATATA